GCACCTTTCACATCACAGTCCCACTACCACAACATTTTGAGGCACCCCTGAGGAAGCCGCTGTATGTATATGTGTATATATATATATATATACATTTATTTAATTTTTTTGTGTTAGACATTTGTCTGGATTCGATTCAGTTTAATTAAACATAGGTGTAGCACTTTGTTTGGGCTGTTTGTGGGCCAAGTATTAAATATATGCAATATAATATTGAGTAATATATGTGACATTTTAGTTCACCTTGTCCGCTTAGGCACTTTTCTTGTCTTAAAAGGAATCCATAGCCCTGTGGACTGCGCACTAAGTGAAGCTTTCTTGTTCGATAAGGCACACATGATATATCAGCAAATGCAATGCTTGGCGTAACTCCTTGAGCTTCATATACTCCCCATGCAGATGCTTCCAGAACTAACAGGACAACACGTGAGCCACTATTTTGCAACTGCAGGAGAAATGCAAGAAAGACTTTAACAAATAAACTGATGCAAACAATCTGGGGAGATATAAAATTCTAGTCATTAAAATCTCATATAATCTTTAACATGTTAAAGTCATTTCAAAATCCCTTAGAATCCTGCCATAAAGATCCTCGTTCATGCACTTCTGATTATGGAGTGACAACCTTCTCCCAATTGTGCTCTTTGCTCTTACATTGTCACCCTGTCACATGCTCCTCTAGTTGAGACCACAAGCAGGAAGCCAGTCAGTAGATCAGAAGTGGCTGAAAGAGGTAGGTGGAGATCAGCAAGCCTGAGATACAAAAAAGGGAAGAAAAATGTAAAAACGGTATCTTATGAAAAAAATGCACATTCCTGGAAATTGTAAAGAGTGTTTACAACACTCTTTAGAATTCAGAGGTTCACATTCACATTTTCTGCAGAAAACGTGTATCTAAACCTCTGCTTTTAACCTTAGTGGTTAGACAGGTTTTTTTGCATGTTGGCTGGTGAGTGTGCCTGGAAACGTTTTGCTGTTTTACTGTTTGAAGCCCTTCCGTGTGCACCTAGCTGTAAAGCTGGTGACGAATTGATGAGTGCATTTGCCATTTGTTTTGCATGATGGGGAACTGGTCCCTCCGCATCCCCATCAATCTTTTCCCATTGTTGATGGTTGTTTGGGACACTGTCAGTTCCTTGGGTGGCGGAATTGGAAGTTGTGAGATTGCAAAATGAACACTGAATGCAAATTGGACACATGGTTTCGGCACCAAATGCTCTGTGCACAGGAATGGGACACCTTTCTATCATTTACTCAAACAGCAAGACTACAGGATGACATCTATAATATTCCTTCTTATACAGTGAAATTAGACTTCAAATACTTTTAAAATGCATGTAAGGGATGCCGAAAAGAATTTGCCCATTAATATTATTATTATAATCAATATAATACAGGATAATATAGCGCCAACAGTTTGCGCAGCGCTTTACAATATAAGGAAGACATTGCAATCACAATACAATTCAAGACAAGATGATAAGGAGGGCCCTGCCCGTGAGGGCTTACAATCTAAAGGGGAGGGGTAAGTGATACATGAGGAGGTAGCTGTGTGGGGATTAATTGTTTGAGAACGTGATGGTTCAGTGGTTAGGTTGATGTGGGATTATCTATTGGAGCAGTCTAATTCAGGCTGGACAAAATAATATTTAACCAAAGGAGTTTATTCTTGTTTATATTATAATTTTATTACCTCAAGTATACATGATTCTGAATTTTTGCATGGTGAAATACTATATGAGATTGAATTTGTTGAATGTATTTGTTGTTCTTTAATCATGTCTTCTTGAAATAATGTTATTATGACAATATCAATTGTGCAAATGGAGCCAAAGAGATTCTATAGGAGATCATGCTGATTGTCTTCATGCCAATATTCTGTTGCTTTTCAAACAAGTTCTCTTGATATTATGTGACCATGTTTCTCTGTCATTAACTGTTTGAACATAATTTGCAGAGGAGAATAGGGGGACTTCTTTGAATTGGCATATACGTGAATTTAAAATTTTTGTGAGTAGCACTGCTTTTGATTTTTTTGTAATTATATATGGAGGCTACCCAAAGCTTTTAATTTTTTAATTTAAAAAGTCAGGGTATACTGTCACGCACTCCCTAATCCCCTGGATTTCTTGGATCTCAGCTGTGGAAGGACAGTGTAACACCCACTATTTACCAAGTTCACAAGGAGGAGAAAACGGCTAGTCAGGCTTAACCCCTGGCGTCACTCTCAATCTGGATGGAGAGTTAGGGGTTACAGCATCATCTGCCATATGTTAACTGTGACTTTGGTTTAAGGGTGGACTATTAATTCATAGGCCGTAGTTGTTTAAGTGAAACTAAACAAACATAAAGTACTAGATATAGGTTTGATACCCCAGCCAGTATAATATAGGATATGAACAGCAGCTATCATGCAATTAGTCACTGGCATGAAAAAGTCAAGAGTTTGTATGTAACATTTCTTAATCCCTCAGAGGGGTACTTGCGCTTAGGTGCATAGGATCCAGGAGGCTCCTGGTAGTGAGGCTTAGGATCTCTGCTGGTGCTTCTGAGGAGGGTAGTTGTCCTTGCAGTAGGCTTGCTGGAGTTGGGTTGAGGGCCCAGTCGGCCAGAAGTACCGATGCTCAAGGAGGTCCAGGCAAGGCTTTTTGGGGTTCGAGGCTGCAGGGCTTCCAGATCGCAATAGTGGAACGCCGTGTCAGTCTCCTGACTGTGTTTAAATAGGCCGCCGTTGCATCCGATTGGAGCGCACGGACGGCCTATGACTACCGTGTTCCAGGCTGGAACGCATGACGTCGCGACGGAGGAGCCGTAGAGACTCCCCACCTGGCGCAGCGTTCCAGGCAGGAACGCAGATGCCGCGATCCCCTGCGGACATTACATATACCCCCAAATTGATGTGGATCACAGGTGGACTTGACCACTGTGGCTTATTATGAATTTGGGGGCCATTTCACTTCTCTTTGTAACAAGCATTCTATAATTGTTATAGAATTTTGTGCATAGGTTTGTATAAAGCATAAGGGATATCATCCCAGGGTACCTTTTTACTCAGCTGACTCAGTGTGAAGCTAGTGACACTTTCACCATTGACTTCAAGAAGACGGGCACCAGAGGGAGCACCAGCCTTTTGTGCTGCACCACCATCTTCCACATTGAGAAGAAATGTACCGCGAACACCTGGGTAACAAAAATGTATATACAAAAATGTAATGGTCAATAAACAACTATACAATATTTATTAATAAAGACAATTACTTTTTTACAGTGCAAGCAAGTGTGGTGTTGCTTTTCAAACTGGTCACATTTAAATCTTTGACACTGGAATTAAAAAAGTTAGGTTTTAGACATTTTAGGGTCTTTTTAATCTGGAATTTAGCTACTTAGAAATTGAACATAATGGGGCTGATTTATGATAGAAAATAGGCTGTTCACTTTGCAAGAGAATTTTCCCTTAGCTAAGTGAATATGATGAAAATAATTTTGCAAAGAATACACAATCAAGTGCAAAGAAAATAAAAAAAACAGGATTTTTGCTTGTACATGGTTGGATGAGAAAAGTCAGTAGAACCTCATTCACTAAGCTAAGGGAAAATTCCCTTGCAAAGTCAACAGCCTATACGCCTTGAGTAAATCATTCCCAATGAATGCACCCACAACGTCAAAGTAATTTCTGTTACACGCATATGTAGACATTCAGAAATGTTTGTGTAGGCAGCATGACAGCATGTTGTAATCAGCGACCCAGTTCAAGTATGCAGATCAGGAGTTCTGATTTCCGTCTCAATTCACTGGCAGATACTTGCTCTGGATTTTTGAATTAGTAATTATTGAAGCCAAAAACAATCAGACAAATTATATTTTCAGACAGAGGTCAGCAATGTTGGGTTGCATATTTTTCTCAGTATAGATTCCCTTAAATGTCTATATAAACGCTCAGCTTCTAAAGACATATCAAAATTCCCTGTTATCACAAGTAACCCCTTCCTCCCCAAAATATCATTGGTAAAGACCTCTGAATTCCAAAATTTCTTATAGACCAGTGGTGGTGAACCTATGGCACGCATGCCACAGACTGCACGCAGAGGCCACTCTGGTGGAATGCGAGCCAAGGCTGGGGTGTCAAATTCGTATCATCCAACGCCCAGCGCAGACAGTTACGGGCACATAGTTTTTTTTTTACATTTAGTCCTGCTTCGGGCAAGCAGGGTTAAATGTACAGCGGGGAAGCCGTCACTTGAATAGTACAAGTGATCTTGGAGATCACTTGTATGCAGCCTGCAAGTCTGTACCGCCCTCTCTATGGTTTTCTGGGTCTCCCGTTCTTCTGGGGGATCTGAGACCATGGCAAAGTAGTTCAGGATGGAGAGAGGGGATTTATAAAAAGTACAAAATAATTAAATAAGTAAAAATTTTTAAATAATAATAAATATTTAAAAAATAAAATGGTGCCAAAAAGTAAAAAATAATAAAATCAATTAAAATGATAAAAAGTAAATTAAAGATAACAAAACTAAAAAAGCTAAAAATAATAAATAAAGAAAAAATAAAATGTTTAAATGTTTGAATATGTGTGTTTCCCTATTTTGCCTAAGGCGGTGATGCTGAAAGTTTTTTAAACACCAGTGCCCAAACTAAAAGACAATACCAAACTTATTTTCAGTGTTGGCACTTTGAGATAAATAAATTGATTTTGCATTGCAGTTCAGGCACTCAGGCTTGGAAACGTTAGCCATCACTGTTATAGACAATTGTTTCAACAGATCACAGTGTAAGGCCCCATTCACATGGGAATCGGCCGGTACATACAGCTCCGTGCTGCTGCACGGCCATATTAAGCAGCTCCCGGGAAGTACAGGTGCTGCGTGTGATTAGTACGGAGCCCCTGTCCTTCTCTATGAGACTACGCAGCCATACGCCCCCCTGTGCTCACCTGAAGCGCACGTCCGTACGGGTGCGGGTGAGCATACTTGTACGCTGACAGGAGGGATCCTGTCTGCGTCCGAGCCAGGAAACACGCACCCGTACGGACCTGCACTTGAGGTGAGTGTAGGGGGGCGTATGGCCGCATACTCCCATAGAGAAGGACGGGGGCTGCGTACTAATCACACGCAGCACCTGTCATTCACGGGAGCTGCCAGGTTTTGGAAAGGTCTTTTTTTAGGCTGGAAAACGGGTTTCATTCATTGTCACCTTGTTATTAGCATACTGATTGTGGAATATTTAATATTGGACTACATGTAGCAAATATATCATAAAACGACTAAAAGTTCATTCAAATAAGCACTGAAGCAAAGATATGCACAGATTTGTAAATAAACAAGGAGAGATGCTACTATAGTTTCATATTGGATAACTTACCACCTGTTGCACTTGTAGTGAAGCCAAAGCCCCGACCTTCATCACGTACAAGGCAAAGTCGCGGCCTGGGACAAGACTCAGGAAGAACGTTAGTAAGAATGGATAGTGGTGAAGTATTGTTGGTGCGCAATTTTCCGTAGCTGCACTCATCAAGAACAGCCAGTGAGACGCGGGAGCCGCTAGCCTTTACCTTCTGCACAACCTGAGGGAATATTCACATGTTTATAATAGCCGGCTAGCTAAAGGTGATTGTAATAGAAAACTTTGCTTGTTCATGACTAACTACTGAATGTCTTAAATATTGTTTATAAGACCAATACACACGAACAGGTGGCCATAAACTGCCTTATCTCACCCTCAATTTAATTTCCAAGTATAATGGAAGGGCAATGATAAGACTGGTTAGAATTACCAATGGGGTTGAGAGTCATGTACTCAGAGCTGACTAACCCTGAAATACAAAATGCACAACACAATATATACTGTATGATATTCAACAATCGCTCTTTGCAATCACCTATATGTGTGCCCGGTAAAAGAACGAGTCTGCCTGATAGTAAAATGTGAGTTTAGCAACATTAACCCTTTCATTGCTGTAATAACACATTTCATACTGTTCCATGGTTTCAGTTGTAGCATTTACTTTTCTCCTTAAAGGAGAACTATGGGGTCAGGGCTTTTCCCCATAGTTCTCCTTAGGGTAACGGGAGGACACAAACTAGCGCCCTCCCGTTACCCTAAGCTCAGTATACCGCGAGCTACAGCTCGCGGTATACTGAGACGCCGCAGCCGGATCGAATCCCGACATCAATGTCAAGCTCCGCCCAGCTGCGTGAGTGACAGCTGGCTCTGCCTATCTAATGGCAGAGCCAGCTGTACCCGCTCCCCCCTCCCCCCCGTCCGTTCCGCCAGTCAGCGCTGGCGGATCGGAGCGGGGAGGGGGGAATCCAGCCCCTCCCCTGTCACGGCAGAGAGCCGTGACAGGATCAAGAGGTGAGCGAACGCCGGTATATGTTCGCTCACCTCCCGATCTACTGAGCCGATCTGTGACAGTCTCATTGTCACAGGTCGGCTAGAACTATGAGGTGAGTGAAAGCACTCACCTCATAGTTCTCCTTTAAATGTATTTTTGAAGAGACCCTGTCACATTGCCCATGCAGAGCAAAGTGACAGTGTCTCAGCAACAGAACAAATTCCAGCAAGTGACCCACAGAATATCCTACCTGGACAAGCACAAACAGGAACAGACAGAGTGCAAGTACAGAGCAGACAGAAGCAGAGTCAAAACCACGAAAAACAGAATACATTAAACTCCATAATTGATGCTCATATATCCAATAAGAAGGGCGGCCAATAAGTGGCATAACTTTTTTGCATCCAAATTGTCCTAGTCACAATATCACTGTGCTGAGACTTGATATGCTCTACTAAGAAAGAGAGGCAAGCAGTCATTTCCCCACATGTTATAGAGTGAACTGTACTGATGATACAAAGAGGGTTATTCACAAAGCTAGCCGAAGGATCAGCCGTAGCTCTGTCTGATCCTTCGGCTAGCTTCGGCCGCCTGAGCCCTACGGTTCAGTAGAACCGAAGGGCTGCTGTACGGGCTATTCACTATAGCCCCTACAGCTCCCGAAGCTGGCCGAAGGCATATGCTTTGGCTCGACTGAGCCGAAGTGAAACCCGAAGTGAGCCGAGCGGCCGATCATTGGCCGGTCGAAAGCCTCGCAACAGACAGCTGGGCGTAAAATTACCGTTCTTGGTAGAAAATTACCATGTGATGTCTATAGGTAGTTTTAGTTCTTAGTTTGGAATCTTATATAAAACAAGTCATTGTGATCTGACCTTTAGGTGCTCCTGCTCATGTACATACTCCCCATTAATCTGTAATAACTGGTCTCCATCTTTGAGTCCTACAAGATAAGCAGGGCCTCCTGGAATCACTTCACGTACAACATGACCATTTCTTTCCACCTCCATACGCAAGGTGAAACCAAATGTTCCGCTGGCATCTTTTCTCAGTACACAGAAACGAGCTGCTGATTCAGGATCTGAGCCTGAAAAAGGAAAACTAGATATCAAAGAATGCAGAAAAATTGGATTGTACTGTATATACCTGTATACAAACACAGCAGCTATCGATAATATTTCTCTGTTCCTCATTTTATTGCTACTAAGCTTATATCATATTATTTGTTCCCACTGAGGATTCTGCATCTGATCTTTTCCCTGTACCCATTTTGTCATGACTTTATTTATTATTTATGTATTATTTTTTATTATTTATTATTGTAACTTCCTACATAGGCCATGTACTTTCAGTACCACCCAATTTCACTGAATTTACCTGAACCCACTGATATTTTATTAACATTCTATTATTATAAGAAACTAGAGGGTACCTGGGTCTTCTCCAAGGCACAGAGCAGGATTATCAATTCCCAGCTTTGGGTTAAATGGAAACATCCTTGAAGAACAGAACAGAAAAATACTTTAAAATAAACTACAATCATTACACTGCCTGGTAAAAGAATTAATAATTTTATATTTCACATAATAATTTATAATAATATATTTTTTATACACTTTATGTTTATAGGTTTTTCATAGTACAGATGCTCTATAAATGTAGTGAATACGGGCTTGCCTAATGCACACACTAATGTCCTGTTTTTAAATGTGCTGGGGTGAAGTGCATGGATGTCAATTAGCCACATGAATGAGACATCTAGCCAAAAAAGGTTCCCAGAGAACAATTAGTTATTGAAAGGGCGGGCAGGTTGCTTTTCAGCTCCATTTGTGTGAGAGAAACCTCTGATCCAGCCATCTTTGAACAACTGGCTTCTTTCAGCAAATCTGAAAAGTGCTCGTAATAATCATGTGAACAAGAGACTAGAATGCCATATTTTTTGGCTGAATAGAGGACTGTGTAATTTTAACATGCAATATTTTATATTTAGCTAAGTAAAAAAAAAAGAAAATGTACATTTTATTTTTTAAAGTTCTGAGTTTAAGGAAACACAAAATAATTTCAAACACAACAAAACACACAACAAAAGTTGTATACTCACGTGGTTAATTTCAGATCATCTTTAATGCCTGTAACAGAAGAAAAGTATATATGAATGAAATGAATGGTCTATGAAGCAAAAATTGCAGGTGCAGCAAAAGCTTCAGGGCCCAGTCACACCTGTCAGTTGGTAATGTGCATTTTACCACAATGCATAACTAAGCTAAGTCAAAATTTGTATTGCAAAGAGAAAATTCACTAAGCTGAATGAATGAGGTGAAGTTGTGCTGACTTCAATCATTTAATTCTATGCAACGAAAACTCCTGTTTACATTTTCCGTGCACATGATTGGGTACTCTATGCAAAGTGATTTCACCTCGTTTACTGTGCCAAATTAAAATTCACTTTGCTAAGTGAACAAGTTCTACTCCTTTAGTAAATCAACCCTTCCAGGAGTGTAACTATTGCTGAATATATACATACGTTTAAAAACCATTAGAGGGCAGTGAAAGGATGAATAAAGCTAACTACATGTGTCAAAATCCTAAAAAGATTAAAAACCATTAGATAGCAGCAACCTCTCAGGAAATCACTATAGAGCAACACACAAGGATCCAAAACACACAATGATACAGTCCATATAATAATTACCTAACCAGAAACAATATTGTCCATTAATTTCTACCACTTACCGTATATACTCGAGTATAAGCCGAGTTTTTCAGCACATTTTTTGTGCTGAAAAATGCCCCCCTCGGCTTATACTCGAGTCAGCGTCTCGAGAACTGAGGAAAGTGAGTACGCTGGTCAGGTTTCACTGCTGCTCCGGTGGGCGGCGCCCCGAGCGGGGTCATCTGGCAGTCTCCGGGTCCTAATTTAGGTGGCCGGAGACTGCCAGATGACCCTGCTC